AGTAAATTATATGAATGCTCCCTATGGTTTGGGGTAATCTACACGCTTAGTTCCTAATTTTTGTTCTTAACTCGGACGGTCCCTAAGACGTAATTTTATTGCGCATTGGGTCCCTATCAAACATAAAATTACCATATCACCCTTGTTATAGTTTTTATAATTATTATCTATTATTATATATATAATATAAAATAAAAGAAATTAAAAAAATATTTGATAAACTGATGGGTCCTACCACCAAATTTCTATTCCGCCCAGTTCACCCCCTCCCGTCATCCTCTTCTTCCATTCCTTACTTCGACAACTCATTATCTTCTCCGACAAGACCACTGCTAAATACTAACAAACCAGATATAATCAAAATAATGTCAATCTAAATTAAAATCGACCAGAAAATATTTATGATTTTGTTCATGAACATGGAAAAACCATAGATTAAGAATGAATCCATCATATGCAAAAAAAAAAACCATACCATATGTTTAATTTGATACCCTCCTCACTCTAAAATTTCTAGTCGGTAACTCCCTCTAACCTGATGACCCTCCTCGTCAGATTGATCTATTTCTACTCATCTCTTTAGTTAGAGCTTTGATCAGGGCTCTTCACATCGGAACAACGAAGGAGAAGATGAAGTTAAAACATCATTTTTAAGGAGAAACAAATCAAATAGATAATGCATGGAACTATCCTAACCCATGTCAATCTCGAAAAGTCCAATCTCACAACGATAAATGACGGTAGACACTTGAGGGGTCTCCCTTTAAGTTGCTAGAGAAGGTGGGTCTCCCGTATCTATATACCTTTAGGAGGAAGGGTTTCCTTTCTTCTATGTCCGGGTAAGTGGGTCTCCCACCATCAATTTAGGAAATAGGTAGCCATGATCCCTAGCCCCACACAAAGGGGTAGAGAGCCCACACATACTAATTATCTAGAAATCTACTCACAACAACTCAACAAGCAATGGATCTAGGACAAGAACACATAATTCACCCATCCTAATATGTATGTACAAATAGGATGCCAAAACACTTTCAAAATAGATATTTACCTTTTTCTATCAAATCACTTTCAAAATATTTTTTTATGAATGAAAACAAGTATATGCACATGTAAGCAAATAACAATTAAGTATATGTTAGATAGTTTTCAAAACACAAGATCAATAATAAGGGATGTATGCTCCTGGTAACTCAAGATGAAGATCAAAATGGTAGTCACACACACAACACCAAAAATAACGTACCCCCCCTTAAAATCACATTATCAAAATCATGTCCTTCACTCAATAAGGATGTCCCCGAGTCATAACTAAAATCATTTTGTAAGGAAAACACAATTTGCACATTTAGTACACAAACGATACGAATACATGTATAATATTGCACATAAGGGAAATCAGAAGTCAAGATACGCATATAATGGGAACACGTGTTCCAAAAATAAAAGTACTCACGTTAGTCCAATACTAACAACACCAAAGATTATATACACTTGAACTACACTCGTTCAAACTTCAAACTTCTCAAATCAATCACCTAATATCATCATAAGGTGTCAAATGACTAAAATACTCTTTTATGGGTAAACTCATCATTCTAAGCTCAAATATTCCTTATGTTTTCTAATATGAATAAATGAAGCCAAGGGAAAATAAAGGAAAAAACTGCACCCAAAGCTTAAAAAATCATGAAGATAAAAATGAGATAGATTGAGAACGTGTTGCAACATTCCCTAGGCCACGTCGTGACTACGGGACAAATTTCATAATTCTTATCTTGTTTTATCATTAAGTCATCCAACTTTGCAATTGAACCTCAAACGACTCAAATGACTCAAAGAACTTCAGCAAAGGTTATTATACTTCAAATAACACATATGAAGTAATAGTTCAGGAAATGAGTCAATTTATTTTGAGTCTACATATATATATATATATATATATATATATATATATATATATATATATATATATATATAGAGAGAGAGATAGAGAGAGAGGGAGAGAGAGAGATAAGTTCAAATGTTTCTCACATCTATTGTGTGCTAGAATGCACCAATAAGAAATTCAGTAAAAATTAAATTATTATTTAATCAAATAAATATAGATATTAAATGATTTCCATAATTATATGTATATTAAATGATATCCCTAATTATAATTCTTTTTTTTATGAAAACTAATTAAATTCGTCATTAATGTCAGCAATAATATTCTTTTATAATGAATTCGTATCTAGAAGATTGAGATTGTATTCTAGCAGAATGAGAGTGTATTCTAGTAGAATACACTCTCGTTATTCATATTCTATGCAACTTTATTTTATTTTAAGTGAGTGTATCCTGAAACAAAATACGAATCTATACATAAAACCTATATGCGAATTCATTCTGAAAGGATGTTATTGCTGATATTAATGACGAATTTAATTAGTTTCCATAAAAGGAGAATTATAATTATAGATATAATTTAATATACATACAATTATGGAAATCATTTACTATATATCTTTATTTAATCAAATAATTATTTAAATTATTTAAATTTTTATTGATGTGTTCTAGCACATAATAATGTAAGAAACACATTAACCTAGCCATATATATATATATATATATATATATATATATATATATATATATATATATGTTAGATTGAGAACACAAGGTTTAAGAATACAAAAACGAATCACAACCCTTCAAATATGATCTATGGACTAAAATCGAAGTGTCATATATGTAACTTTTTAAACTCATGGTATCAAATTGTAACCTATAAATTAATTAGGGTTAAGGAGGGGATTTCACTGTTAATTTTTTCCGTAATGTCATACTATTAAATATGGAATTGATTTGAAACTTTTAATGGTTTCCTTATTGTCAGTAAATATAGCATTATATGTATTTTTACGTAACACACATTTTACAGTAAATATAGCATTATATAACCCATCTTATCTATCTGATCAACAAATTTAATGACTATGTGTCTAAATCAACAATGAAACCAATAAAATATATGTTATATGGAGAAAATGGCTAAATCATCACTAAATTTTAGTTTGGGACTTATTCGTAAATTAGGGTAAAATAATGAGACTTTAATGAAACAAGTAATGAAACCGGTAAACCGGGAAAAAATGGTCAAATCGTCATTTTTACAGGTAATTCATGCTTTTTCATAAACAAATTTTAGTTTGTGACTTTTTCGTAAATTAAGGTAAAATTTTAGTACTTTTCTGGAGATTTCCCAAACTTTTAACCCCAAAACCATGTTGTCACTATTAACCACCCCTTTAGGATGATTCCGTCATCGGAAACAATAAGAAATCCAAAAGTCATGATATTTCAACTTGGATTATCCAAAGTTCCTTTACATGATCAACTCAATCTGTCACTTTGATGCATCATGCACATTGGTCTAACTTGACATGAAATTTTCAACAACATGTAACAATTGGAAGCCCACACCTACAACCTCATATCAATCCTACCTCATTACAGACATATACCAGCCTCTCGGGGCTTTTCTGTAATTGCCCGAAAACATTTGTGGGCTACAGTATTCTTACTTGTCAGCTCAACAACATGCTCCCAAGACTTAATCTCAAGCTCCAACAACTATCACCACCCAATAGTAATACCACACTTCAAATTAACCCTAAAATGATTTTTTGGAGGTCACGAAACAACGAAAATCAATCTCATGTATCCTACATACCTCACTTCGATATTTTAGTCTATGTACGTAAAACAACCTTCGGATACGAACTATTACATGGATTCCGATTCTAGCTCTCACATGACATTTAAATAAAGGTAACATGCACTCGTTAACACATTGTAATACGTCTAAATCCATTATGGTTGGCAATGGTTCTTTGCTTCTGCTTAGCTATATTCGACAAACTTTTTTTTCCCTTTCTCTCAAAATTGTCTCTTGTTAAAAATTTCTTGGTTTCGAATAAAATGGTAAAAAACTAAATATTTGTTCACCAATTTTCGCTCATATGAATTTTATCCGTTTGGTTTTCTGTAAAGATCTTGAAACAAGTACTCTTTTCCAACGATGCGACAATGTTGGTGACTTGTACCCAGTTCTTCCTTTGTCTCTCACACTTGGCATTGTCGGTTGGGTCATCCAGGAGCCACCACTTTTCAGTTTCTTCGGTCATGTTATTTTATTTCATGTTCCAAGAATGAACTTTCCAGTTGTCAATGCCTGCCAACTTGGAAAGCATTATTCTCTTTTGTTTGCTTCCTTTGTGACTAAAACTACTAGTTTGATTCATTTAGTTTTCTCAGACTTATGGAAATTCTTTGTCTCTGGACTTAGTGGCTACAAATATTATCTTTTATTTTTGGGTGATTATTCATATTTTTATGGATTTTCTCTTATTTATTAAGTCTCACGTGTTTATTATTCTATGCACTTTCCATAAATATATTCAAAATCAATTCAAAAGTGAATCCAACTTTTTTTAATTTGACAATCATCATGAATTTAACAATCAATCATTTATCACCCTCTTTCAAATCATGGAATTAAAATGCGTTTTTCATGTATTTTCACATATCAGCAAAATGGAAAGGTTGCATGTAATATTCGCACTATCAACAATAGTATTCATACTCAACTTTTTCAAATGTATTTTATATTTAACATATCGTAAAAATAATTTATCAATAAAAAATTAAATAGATAAATGAAATTCATTAAATAAAGACAAAACTTCATTAATCGTCTTTATGGTTTCCCAGAATTTGGGCTTTAGTCCATAACTTCAAAAAACTTTATGGAAGGTATTTGTGGTTTTCAATTTCTATCGTGGTTGGTCTTTCACCCACCTAAAAAGACTTTTATACCCTTTTAATTTATTTTACATTTTTCTTAAATTTAAAACTATTATAAAAAAGAAAAAAAAGAAATACATAAAAAGGTGCGAGTCATTCATAACTTAACTTTAATCCATCCTTTACAACCCCTTTGCCGAACTACCATGACCTCCCGTTACTATCCTAACTCTTTCTCATCCTCCTCTTCTGCCTCAATCAAAGGTTGTTGCTGCTGCTTCGTCCTCTTCTTCCTATTCCTCATTCTCATCTCCCTCGATATTATCCTCATCACGATCCTTGCAGTCAAACCCAAAAGCCCTAATTCAATCTCCAATAAACCACCGTTAAACATATTCAGGATCAAGTACGACGATTCCACATTCAATATCATATATCATGGAGTCCCGTTACGTCGGTATATTATCGTGGGGTTTTATCAGGCGGCTTATAGTATAAAGAACATACAAACGACGATGTTAGTTGATCGGGTGAATCTATTGCAGGAAGCTGCTACTGAACTGGTGACAGATGCTTCGACTGATGATCGGGTGAAGCTTCAGATCATGGGTGATGTAAATGCTAAGATCCGAGTCATTGGGATTACTTTGCTCAGTATGCAGGTTAGCATTTTTACCTTTTATCTTCCTTCTAGAATTGGAAATCTTTAGGGCATTGCGTGATGGATTTTTGTAACGTCCCAAAAATACTGAGTAAAAATTTCATTTTGAATAAATCAAACCATTCATTTATTTGTTCCGAAAGAAAAACCGAGTAAAAGTATTCTCAAAACATCAGAGTAAATCAAATAGTCAATGCTAAATAAATCTCCAGGAGATGCAGTGCGATCAAGCCCGACCCTTTTCTTTTGAAATCATAAGTACCCGAAAAACATTTCAAACATAAACTGTAAGCACAAAACTTAGTGATTTACCCAAAATACCACATACCATACATAAGACAGTGAATGTTATGGGTCAATCATAGTCTTACAATCACTTCCTGCCATGGGCTAAATCATGGTCTTTCCTTGCAATGCTTATGACCAAATCCCGGTATTACATACAAGTTTCAGGGGCCACATCCTGGTCTTCCATACAAGTATCACGAAGACAACTAGCATCCTACATGCAAATGCCAGGGGACAGATCGTGGTCTTACATGAAAATGCCAGGGGCCAGATCCTGGTCTGACATACATATACCAAAGGGCCATATCTTGGTCTTTCATACATATTTCAAGGGCCACATCTTGATCTTTCATACATATTCCACGGGACACATCCTGGTCTTTCATACATATTTCAGGGCCACATCCTGGTCTTCCATGCAAGTATCATGAAGACAACTAGCATCCTACATAGTATAATGAGAAAACTCACCTTACACTCGCAGAACCGGAGAAGCACAACATCACTCTAACTCCTTGCATTAATCAATCCCCTCGAGCCGACTAACACCAAGATAGATAAATATTTAATCACCGACCCAAATCCTCCAAGTTTGACCCTAAGTCAAACTGGTTAAAAGTCATCGGTCAACAATCAACAAAAGTCAACGGTCAACCAAGTCAACAGTCACCACGACGTGGGGACCTCTTGGCCATGTCGTGGGCATGTCCAGACAAAACAGTCAACATGCAGGATATCACCACGACATGGGCCCTCCTTGGCCACCTCGTGGGAACTGGAAGTTTGCTCCAAAACTCTATTAAGAACTTAATCCATACATATTAAGGACCAAAACTTCAGATATATTCTTTCACAATGACTTAATCGATAAAGTTTACAACTTTATCCATTAGGACCTTACCACAAGACAAGATTCTAAACCCTAAGTCTGTAATAGCATAAAACCTTCCAAAACATGCATGGATTCAAGAACAATATCAAGATGCAAACTTTCACAGTCCATTAAAATTATGAGGTGATAAAATAAGCTCAAGAGGTGTTGGAGTTCATTCAACTCCAAAGCACAAGCTCGTAAGGAACAAAAGGGAAAATATGATCAAACTACAAAATCTGTCAAACTAAAGATCAATATGGAAGATTTTTACTTACAAAGGTCCAAAAATGAAGTCCCTTTGCTAGATCTACACTTGAGACCCACACTAAAATATGAGGAATGAGTCTTCAAATGGCCAAGAACACCAAGAACACTCAAATGGGGGATAGGGTTTTAAAAATAGAGAGGTTGAGGCTGAAGAGGATGCGCTAACTTGGAGTTAAGATGCTTAAATAGGGAGGAAACCCTAAAATCATGGGTTTAGGCTGCAGAGGCCGCCACGTTGTGGCCATCCTTGTGCGACGTCGTGGAGCCCATCGGAGATACACATTCTTCATCTTTTATGCCACGTCGTGTCACTCCATAAATCATGTTATGGAATATGATTTTCCTCAAAACCATGCCTTTGACTCCTTTATATCATCCACTTATCCATTCTGGGAGAAAGGTGTTGTGGATTTGAAATTGGTGAGTTCTCGGTGAAGGTAGAGGGTTAGTGGTGATGGATCCGTGATTTTGGATCTGTGGTAATTCGAGTGTTTAGTGGTCACTTCTTACTGATGGTTATGGGTTTTTATGCAGGTAGAAAGATGACGATGTTGAATGATGGTGAGGATGGTGGAGGCTCCTATGGTTTATGAAGATGGCGGCGACATATGTAATGCCCACGTTTCTCGCTAGGCATTAGTTATAAAAGATGTATTACATTGGTCGACGATTGTAACCTTTTATGAATAAACAAAAGATGATTATTTGAATATTATGTGTATATAATATATGTATAAAAATGTATTTTAAAAGTTAATAAATAGGACTAAAATAAACGTTAAAAATAAAATATTAATTATGATAAATAGTCTTGATGAATGTTGAAGTAGTCGTGATGATGATCTCAGGGTTATAAGGAATGCTTAAATATGACTTCGTATAAAGAAGTTACGATCCCTTGAATTTTCACGTTCAATCCTATACAACAAAATGTGTCGTAAATAGTGAATCGGAGATGAGTTTCTTATTAGCCTAAGTAATCTAAATGAAAGTCATAGTAATCCTAAAAGTGAACTCGTACATATAAAGAATGCTTAAATCTGACTTCGTATGAGGAAGTTATTAATTTTTGAAGTTTCAGCGCAGTTGTGCAACACAAAAACCGTAACTAAAATCGGTTGATTGTTAGGCAAAACAATCTAAACGAGATTTGAAGATCTTGTAAATACAATTTCATTGACATAAAGACAGTCGAGAACAAAATCTGTATGAAAGAGTTATGGTTTTTATACGGAGTTTAACGGTCTAAGCCTTAATAAAATATAAATAAATAAATAAAATGAGAATTATCCTATGGAGTCTAAATGAAAGGTGTATTAATCATCGATAGCTACGCATTGTTATAAAGAATGTCAAAACCGGAGCTCGTATGAGAAAGTTATGATTTTTAGAAAAATTGAAAATTCTATCGCATGCGGGGCGCGGCACACACTGCTTCTAGAAGGGCGACGCGGACCACCAACTTTTCGACACATGTCACAAATCTGGAGGAGCAGTGTAGCATAAAGGTGCAGTGCACCACTTATATAGGCGTGACACGCCTAGCCAAAAAAGCCTATATATAAAGCCCAATTTTAGCTGATTTTCTCACTCCTCCAAGCTCCTTTCTCTCTGAGCAATTTCCCCTCTTAAAATTTTACTTTTCCCTAGATTTTAGAAGCATTTATCAGGGCTCTGACTCATTGGAGAGTCCATGTAACTTCCCAAACAGAGTGATCAATTTTTTTGTTTAAAAACCATAAGTTTCAATCATCAAATGTCTCAAAATCAAACACAATACACAACGTCAAAACATCAGAGTACAAATAGTCAAAAATACGGAATCATGAGGGGGGATGCAGTGCCTTCATGTCGGGCTCTTCCCTTTCGAACCGGAAGTACCTGAATCCACAAACATAAACTATAAGGACAAAGCTTAGTGAGTTCCCCAAAGTACCGCATACCAAAAATACACTAGGACTAGCCCTAGGGTATATTCCAACCCAACATACACTTATGAGCCTAGCCCTGGGGCCTAGTCGTGGGGTATATTCCAACCCAATATACCCTTAGAATAGACCATATCTGGGCTTTGGAGTCCTTAAGATCAAGGTAATCGACTTAATCCATTAAGCTATGGGGAGCCCAGTGCCCACGTCGGGCCTAAGTCTCCACGACGTGGCGGCTAGGCTGAGTCTCGACTGTTTTGTCATTTAGTGGCCACATCGTGGCGACCCGCTGTAGTTGAATTTGAATTTGATCGTTGACTTTGACCAAGTTTGACCCAAGGGTATTTTGGGTATTTTGAGTTGTATTTGAGATTGGTCGCTAATTGACGAATAAGTGACTGGTAGAGCTGAAAAGCGGAGCAGAGACCTATTCAAAGATTTGTTCAGATTGAGAGGTGAGTTTTCCTCACTGTACATATGGGTCGAAGGCACCAAGGCCGGCCTATTGGATTAGATATCCTATTTTGTTGAGTGTTGTTATGCTAAGATATGTGTTCATTGGTTATGAGATTAGACTGGTAGATCTGTTGGACTACATGTGTTTGTTGATTACTGTTTGTTATTATATATGTCGACATGTTATGGTTTAACGGGTTTAGGCGGGACAGTTGTCGGCACGGATAAACTGAAAGCCTGCAAGGCAGTCCAGTTAGGCCGAAGGCCCAGAGAGCGGTCCAGATAGGCTATTGGCCCTGCAAGGCCATCCAGTCATGCTGAAGGCTCATATTTGTATGCCGTTGTTTGTCATGTTGTGTGGTGGTACTTTGAGGGAAATCACAAACCTTTGGCATACAGTTTCATTTTATTGTTTCAGGTACTTCAGAGGATCATGGGAAAACGAAGGCGTGATCATGCACATCTTCCTGTTTTTATGACATTGGATCTTGGGATACTCTGATTATGATTATACTTTTGAAACAATGGTTTTTGTAAACACTTTATGGTTAATGAGTTGTTTTTGAAAAATTCAAATTTCTATGATTTTAGGATGTTACAAGTTGGTATCAGAGCCTTGGTTTGAGAGAATTGGATGAGCATTTGTGTAAATACAGACTCAAACTAAGGATCTGCAAAAGTTTTCAAAATAAATTTAAAATTGTTTTTGAAAGTAACCAGAGAAGGACGCGATGTGTACGATCAGCAGGAGCAAGAAAGTATAACCCAAGTTACCCATACTGTTATTTGATATAATGTTTATGGTAGAACATCATGCTAGTGGTAGGCTAGGGATCTTCAAGAATTCCATGATATATTTTCCTGATGTATGATGCTTGATAACCTAGGCGTGCTTCTTGTATGAAATTGACATCATTACTGTAGTTGTTTAGTGTGTGCATCATAGTTGTACATAACTAAGATTTATAGCCTGAGAATGTTTGATTTAGCCTTATTTCTTGTTCTTGTCTGGTTAAGGGCTTAGGGTAGAATCAAGTATTCGGTTTTCTATAGGATCCAATGTTATGTATGATTAGCATACACGAGTGGCTGCAGGGTTGGTGGAAGTTTCATGGGTGAGTAGGTGTGTGAGGAGTCGATCAGATGAGGCATGATTAGCCACTCCCTAGGGAGTGAGGATAAGATGTATGCATATCCTAGTTCTTGTATATATTTTGGGTGGTTGTGATGATCTTT